ATTTAACAATAAAAATTGTTTTAGGCTCTACAAATGATGTCGTGAACTGTTTTACAAGTCAAAATTCACCACCCTTTATAGTTGCAAGTTATTTCTATATGGTGCAAATTGGTCAGTTATACATCGATACAGAAAAGTATAATATTTTTTCAGAGAAAATAAAGAGTTTTCATAATTCAGATGAATTCGAGTGGAATAATCTTTATTCATATTTTAAAATTCCTGAAACAATTGAATGGGCAAGATCGTTATTGATTGATGATAACTGTTCACTTCTTGATCTTTGCAGATCCAATCCAGATAAAATATATCCAATTTTAATTAATTCCAATTACAGGAAGATCATTGGTTCTAAAAATTTTGAGCACTATCCCCTTTCATATTTTGTTCAAGGACATTTTGCCAAGAGTTTCATCGACAGATATGTAAAGCACAAGGGTGTAGAATTTTTGCTTGAATTGACACGTGGTAAACTACCTACTCTCTGTTGCAGATATGTAATGAAATTTTTAGACATTGAAGATGTTCTAATGGGTTGCAAAGCAATCAGAGATAAAATTTAATTAGTTTTATGAAGAGAATGCTATTTTGTAAGGTAGAGATTATGTGGTAGATAGTGAAAACAGTAACATTTTTTTCATTGCAAAATATGAGCACAACTCCAATAAAATTTCCACTTTAAGCAGTATCAAGTGTGAATGGTGTTATTGATAAAAAGGACTCAATCCAGATAAAGCATATGCAATTTAAAAAAATTCCAATTACAGGGTGATAATTAATAGTAAAGATTTTCGTGAAATGATAAAATTCTCTAATTTGTCAAGTTTTGTATTTGGACATTTGACTAAATGTTCAATCACTGGATTTTTTAAAAATATAGGAGTGTAAAGCTTTGACAAAATTTTAAACTATCCTATTGAATGCAGATATACAGTTGTGCAAAGCTATCTGAGATAAATTTAAATAGTATTATTGCAAATGATATTGTTAGATAACGATGAAACTTCTTTTCATTAAAAAATCTCAACAGAATTTCGTTTAAATATTAATTAGAACTTCTTATGAAAATGTAATTAAAGTTTTTATATCGAATCAATGATTTTAAATTCTTTTGTTGTATTTCTTAAACGTTTGTAATTAAAAGAATTTCTATACAACCAGCTTTGACTATTTTATTTTTCAAATCCTTCGATTCGTATTAATATTAAACATTTCTATCTTTATTAACTAAAAATTGTGAAATCAAGAGTGATTTATATTTGTATTAGCTATTAGCAATCTATCAAATCGATTTTTACCGCAATACTATTTTAACATCAAAGTATTGAGACAGATTTCGGTGGGATGCTCTGTAAATATTAAATTAGTGATAAGAAGAAATTTGCTTGAAAATCAGTTATGTAAATTTATACACTTTCAATTCTACTTCACGACTCTTCGAGTAAAGACGCTCCAGGCCTTAAACATGAAGTTCTGTTCAGTTTTACAAGTAATCCTGCTTATTACAGCTGCATCGTACAGTGTTTCCTTGAAAATAGGTAAAAAAAGATTAACGAAAATTTCATCTTGAATTTTTCTCAATTATCGGATGAAAAATCCTCTACAATTTTTCACAGACGACTGCAACTTTCGATCGGCGATCGAGTTTTTGAACGATGAAAATGAGACGGTAGTTCTCGCGGGAAATCTGACCATAAATCTAAATGGAGTCGATCTATTTCACGACGCGGCTTCCGTCATCGACAGCAATTTTCAAGGTAAGTCGAAATGATATCATGTATGTATCTGCAAAGTTTTGCAATCACATTTGATTATCGCCACACTGTCTCACCGTGAATAATCCAACAGGAGTGGTGACCATTGGAAAAGAAATCGTTAACGCATCGGTCGCTACCAAATTCGACGCTTTGAAATCGGTCCGAGTGCAGCGACTAATTGTGAGTACATAAAATCGCCAACAAAGAAAAAATTATCACTTATCCCAATCGCGTCTTCTCTCAGTCGTACTACCATGAAAAATTCATGGACCGCACCAAGAGCCGCTGCATCGTCAGCTTCAGCTACAACGACGAATCGAGGTAAGGCATAAATTTCGTCGTTTTTACCCACTGCCTATTACTTATAAGCGACGCATTTAACTCGTCGATATATATTTAACAGAATATCGCTGCCGAGATACATCGAGGACAGGATCACGTCGCTCGCCGAGGGCTGCATCGAGGCGAAGCTGTGCAGCTTCCGGCCGAATCAGCAGCAGATCGGCGACAACATCCAAGTGGAGCCCGTGGCCTGGAAAAATCGCACGTCGCAAGTGAGACGCATAATATTTTACCTCGTATTCATAATGCACGAGATGCGTTGACGTTTGTCTTTGTCTATTTTTTATTTTTGCTATAGGATACAATCAATTCGCTGACGGACGACTTGTTAACCTTGGGCATAGGTGTCCTGAGCAAAGCGAACAAAACGACCTTCCGAATTCCGCCGATCGATCTGGACAAATCGACCTTCCTCTACTCGGTTTACTTCAAAACTAGCGGCGGATTGGTCGAGTAAGTTTCGATACACGCCTGGCTGAATATAGTTGCTCGAAAGTAATTGTAATTTTTTGTTTGCAGCGTCGTCGAGTACATCCAACGCCGCGGCGACATCAAATTGACGCATTTCGATCACAGGTACGTCATCGAGCTGGGCTTGGACGTCGTCGGTGGAGGCATCAATCTCGAGGATGTGAGTTTAAACTCTTCAACTACAGTATGCAATATAACCGAACTTGAACTAAATCCTTCCTTCTTCGTATCTTGCAGCTCCGCCTGAAAGTCCCGGTGATCTTCAACGAGATCAACGGGCGTTTATTCGCCAATCTGACCGGTTCCAGTGCCCGGTTGCGCCTCGCCCTGGACTACCAGGTCAAGCCCTGCCGTCTGATGGTCGAGGACATGGCCATCCACCTGCCCGAGCGCGTGCTCGACTTTTCGCAGCTCGGCTTCTCGCTGCTGATCAAGAGCGTCGAGGTGTTCGGCGGCAAGCCCGTGATCCTGTCGACCCTCGTCGATCAGGTGCGCCAAGCCGTGGCCAACATCGTCCTCGACGTCGACTGCGAGAAGTTCCGCCGCGACATCTTCCTCGGCTATCCGTACGAGCAGTAGCGACGATATTATTAAGATTTATAGTTAGATAAAAAAAATTAAATTAAATTAAATAAAAAGCGAGTGTTTGACACGAGCAAACTTTGAACATTGCTTTATTTAGCCCGCGTGTCTATATGCAAATTTGGGCTCGTCCGACGAGATCGAGAGCTCCGTTATCTAATTTTGGAAAAATCGGTTACGTGCCAGTGCGAGCACAGTTGCGCACATCGTGGGTGTAGATTTGACAACGAAGGCGTGTACTATAACGCAACGACGACATGTGCCACGCACAGGCGACACACGAAATGGGCCACCGCATCGGTCTCGTGTATATATACGAGCGCAGAGATGTTACACACAAACACAGACGCACTACTCAAACGCGACGTGCGAATCTTGACAGGTCGAGCGACGCTACATGATAATATAATTAATATATATATATTATCATCGCGTCGGGATATAGGTTGAAAGCACACGATATTACGCGACCTGGCATAAAAGTACGTAACAATCAACTGTGTACTTATACTCCGTGGTATATACTTCGTAACGTAAACGAAAACTTTGTTGATTGCCCAAGACCACCGCCGCGGCGAGAGGCAAACTTTTTTTTTCAGAGCTATACGCGACGCCTTAATTGAAGTTCTCGCAGCTTTTTATTTCCGCGCGAGGGAGAGGCGCGACGATTTTTTCTCCTTTTCTTTCTTTCTTTCTTTCCTTTCTTTCGTGAGAGTTATATCTTTGTTCTCTAGGTCGGAGTCGCGAAGAATTTCAAAATTACAACTGTTTTTCAAGGAGAGTAGGAAAAACGGGAAGTAGGGAGGCTGAAGAAGTTTGCTTTCATGTAATAATATAAATTTGAAAAATGTTCTGCGCTGGATATTAATAATTAAAAGATAAATCATCCACCCGATCGACGTTTCATTTCCCTCTCGGACAGTCGAACGAATGATTTTGCGATTGGGGTGGGTTGACCTTCGACCTTTTCTTTTATGATTATTATATATATATGTGCGTGTGTGAAATCGTCTCGATTCTATTCACGTACGCGCGCGACACGATGTGACTTATGATTGCGAGTGTACGTAATACGTTATTCGGCATTACTGCCGTGACACCCGTTGACGTCTCTATCTCAATCTATTCTGTTTATTTTTTTTGCTCCCCTTGGCATTTTCATATACACAAACCCACATGCCGCCTACGCGCACCCAAACAATTCGTTCTCCTTGCGTGCAACGAGAAGAAAAAAAATCGAGTCAAGGAAGCTAATCGGATTGCAAAGGAGTTCGCTCTCTCTCCCCCGTTTGTTTTTTCTTTTTCATCTTCTAGGCGAAATCTCGCGCTCTTCTTTTATGTGCAAGCGATGCCACGTACCGCCTACTATTCTTCCTCGCTTCACGCTCCAGTCGTTATTTTCTTTCACCTTACTTCTTTTGGACTACCGACCAAGAGAGACTATCGTGGCTGTGAAACTGGGAAAGGGGGTGTGGAGAAAAACCGAAGCGAAAATTTTCCCTCTTACAAGCTTTGCTAACAGGGGCGTGCATTTGCATGTTGGTACTAGCGCGCACCGTAAAACTTGAACATTTTCTACCAAAATGCCTGATTGGAATGCGTAAGTTTTGATTGCAGAATGAATAACTGAATTTTCTCAAGTTTTACCAAAAAAAATATTGTATCATAAAACCATGAAAGTGTTGACGCAAAAATGGATTATTTAAAAAAAAAAATTTATTTTGGCTCACTATATGATACATGAAGTGAGATTTCAATGCCATTGATAATGTTATTAATGAATATTGAAAGTATGCATATAATAAGAGTCTGGTTACTTGAACTGTGTCAAAGAAAAAGAAAAATCGGTTTTTTGAAGTACTGACATTTATTTATGCCTTCGATAACATATCAATGTCAATACTAATTTTAAAATTAGTATAAAATAGACTTAAAAGAAGAATCCTAAGATTTTGCCACCAAGATGTTTCCTTCTGGCTTCTTCATGGTCCATGATGCCACCGCTTGTGGTCAACACGACATAACTGAAATTGAATGCACACAGGTAAGAATATGCAAAGTATCTCTAATGTTACATTGTTACTAAAAATAATATAACTTACCCAAACTGTCTGGATGGGAGCAGATTGTTTGTCCACTTTTCGATGTCATTAATTGGCACATCAAATCTTGGTGAGATAACACCACATTTGTTAAGACGGCCAGTAAGGTTGACAACAACCTTTCCACTTCTGTGGTCATCAACAATTTCGAACTCACCAATATATCCTGTGATAAACAATAAAAGGTTTATTTAATGATTCTGATACTTTTGAAGTTAAGATAAGTTGAAACTTATTCAATGTATACAATCACTTTTAGATATATTTTTGAAAAATTGAATTGTCACTGTAATATATTTACTAATAGTAGAAATATTATTTTTAAAACTTACCATGCTTCATCATCACTGTCAAGAATTTGACAATGACTTTGCTGTTGGGTCTCAGCAAGACTTGTCGTTTGCCTCTCTTCTCTGCATTGTTGATGCTTTTGAGAGCATCAGCGAGAACGTTCATACGCACCATGGCTAAATTGGACAATGGAACAAAAATAAGAACAGTAAATCATTTATGAATCACAACAATTCCATGATATATATGGCTGTTACATATTGAGCATTAGATATACAGAGTATTAAATCAATACTTCCAGAGCTATCAAGAAAGTAATATTCACATTTAAAAGAAAAAATTGGTTTCTCATGATAACAATTATCAGCTGAGTATGACAGGATGGATAGCAGACATCCCTTGAGAAGTAAAAAATTTGCTTAAACAACTTGCTTCTTGACTTGTATACATTTACCATAAATAGATAAATAAACAGAATTCTATTTTTAAACAAATGCTATAACAAAAAGCCCACGTGCGAAGAGCTCAACACAGTGCTTAATTTGAAGGTTACCTTGTATCAGCTGACTGTACAAAAGTTGGTAAAAATTGAGAAAACCAAAAATTTTCTTATAAACATTAATCGAGCGTTCGATACTCGATTAGTCTTAAAAAAATTATATAGCAACATTGTTGATTTTCATGATTACCTGCGATTTAAAATCACTCAACACACCACTACTGCACGGGTTAAAAAAAAAGAGATAGCGCGGTTCAATCGCATGCTAGGCTGCCAACGAGGCATCGAACTCGCAGAAAACAAAGATGGTCGTGTCTAGCGTCGGCGGGAATTTAAAACGGTGCATCGATCAATGATACAGAATTTTATTATAAAAAATTTTTTTAACCAAATGAAACGCATTTCAAGATTAATCATATCATTTTTATGCAGAGTTTTGGCGCTGTAAATTTTTTTTTTTGTTACTAATTTAGTATAGATGTAACGATAATATAATTAATAAATATTTTTTACATACAATGAATACATTTGATATAATTAATTAAATCGTAGTTTTAAATAAATACTACAGCATATGCAATGTAGATCTTGGTGGTTCAGAAAATTATTAACTATAAATGTTAATCTTTACTCTTCACAAGACTTTAAACATGAAAAACTAGTGAAAACTTTCGCTTTAATTTCTAAAGCAAAGAATACATGGATTAAAAATGCTCATGAAACATTTTAATAGGCCTTGAGTATTATCAAGTCTATATTGTTTGAATTAAATAACTCGTTAAAATAATTATTTGATCAATTTTTATCACGTCGTTTGGAGTATCTTTCTGAAAAAGGCGAAACATTCCATTTTATTTTTTTCAGTACACTTCTAGGGGAGATTACGATATCCGTGGTCCCGCGAGTTTATGCAAAATTTCGACCCAGGTCGACGTAACTAAGTATCTAAACGTGAAAAAAGTCGACTACAAGTGTTGTCGACTCAACTCGTGACCTGTGTGTGTTTTGCATAAAATCGCGGGACCACGGATATCGTAATCGTGCCCACTTCTACCTCGAGTCTTATTGCAGTTTTAATGTAATAAAAAGTTTCTACGTACTCGAATCATTCTTTTCAAAAACTGGTTGACTTTCTGCGTGCAAAATTAAGTGTAAGGGAGTCTTTAGTCGTGTCAATATCTCGCACATAAAAGTTTATCATACAATACGTTTTCAAAAATCTAAAAGATAAACTGGGAGGAACCCTCTGTAAAAATGTGTATATATTGAATAGTAGTAGTAGTAGTAGTAGTAGTAGTAGTACTAGGTTTTCATTGGCATTTAAAAAATTTTACAAAGCCCTTGTACAAATATCTATTGAATGTTATTCTTCATTTTCAGGCGCCACGGTATTTTCGTCTCTGGAAATTGGAATACACCCGATCTCTCTGTTTCTCTAATTTCTCTCGAACACTCGCGGAATGCGCGCGTACTCGGATTCGGAACTCGGCGTTCTTATTTTTAAATAAATTGACACTCTCGTATTGTCGAGTATCAAATGTTACGGGCTAGGCTAAATAGTTGAAAGTCGGAATGCACGCGATAACGAAACTTGAATCATTGTTGCGTACGAAACTTTCAAACGAGTTTTAAGCTCGTTACTTCCCTCTTTCACGAGAAAAGCATCGATTAAAAAATATACGCTGTGTATAGGTTTTGCCCTGGAGATTTCAAAACGGTAGGTTAGGTGAAAAATTATAACGACCGTTTTCGAACTTCGAGATAAACGTTAGACATACTCTCAGCTCTCGTGTGTCGAATTGCCAATCGACCGGCGAGTAACCCTCTCTCTCCCTCTCTCTCTCTACCAATTAGAAATGGCATCGAGCATCGATCTTTGTGGCCTAATTTGACTTCGAACCACGATTCGCGTGTATATCGTTATACACCTATATTCAAGAGGGATACTTAACGAGGGGACAATCGCGAGACAGTACCCCATATCTCATTGCCGCGTTCGCTCGTTTACTTCGGAGTTTGCCGATGGGATACATCCATGCTCCATGTGTATACAACTGTCGGTGCGTTATTTGCTCCGACTCTCGACCGTCAGATACGCTCGTATGAATAAAGGCAATAACAATCATAATCCCATCGTAAAAAGGACTTGACATACCTCTACCGGGTCGAGCCATCGACGTACCTATAACGTACAGTATCAAGTTTCAACAGCTTCTCGGTACATATATACTATCGAAATCCAAATCCGCAAGAAGAAAAATCGATGGATATCCATGTAGCCGATACTTTTGGGAAAATTCGAACGTTCCCGCATAATATGGCCCGCGGCGAGTCGGCAGTGTAACGCGCGCTCCGATATATTATATACTCAAGGCAGATAATATGCATAAATGTGTATAATAGATGTGTGTGTGTGTGCTGTGCTGTGTATATAAACTCGTGCACGAGCATCGAGGCCTGCAGCCATGTGTGTGCGCCCGGCCGCCGGCCCTCGTTAGTGCACAACTTCTGTAACGTATGCGCGCCTGTATATAGGCTATATACATACATCTATATATATGTATCGTGCGGCGAAAGGACTTTGCTAGTTGCACAGATACATATATAGGTATAGTGCACACAGAAGCCGCGAGTGCATAAGGCCATCGCCCCCTGTCCTAGGCTATATGTATATATATAGGTATACACCTATTTATAGCGCACGAGAGCGAGCGAGAAGGTAGATATTCTCTCTCCGGTGCAGAAAGTTTCGAAGCCTGCGCGCACGGAACGTCGATCGGCTGCCGACGACGACTGTGATCCTTCGTGCGCGGGGTGTATGTGTATGTATGTGTATATATGTGTGCACGACTGATAGTGCACAATTCTACCCTCGCAGGGGCAGCACCGTCTACTCTGTAGTACTGCGCCGCGCGAGATAGACAATGCGTAGCAAGCAAGCAGCAGGCAGCAGCAAACGGAGCGGCTAAAGAAACACAAGATCCTCGCGGCATGACTATCGCATTTGTTATATCGCCTCCGTTTTATATATATCATATATATGCGCTATCTGGCTGTGCAACGATGACTGCGGATGTTATATCAAAGTATAGATTTTTCAACGTTACGTAGATAGTATAAAGCTCATGCGCGCACAGGAGCCATATATTATCATAATGTACACGAGGTACGCGATGCGCTGCGCAGTACGAACGAACCGAGAGAGTTCGATTTATCGGAGCTTTTTTCAAAAAAAAGGAATCGCTCCGCGATTCGTATATGCAGGACGTGAAATTATATAGTCGAGGCCTAACAATAACGACGACAACCGAAGAGTATATAGAAGAAGAAGTTGCCCGTCATCTCTCGTTCGTAACGCACACCGAAGGCACGCGCGCAAAAAGTGTCTACATTATAGCCTGCGAATCATCAGTCACCGGTGTAAGTGTTCTGCACGCGCGATCGAGGCAACAGCGTCGTCGTCGTCGTCTTTGCGGAGGAGAAGCAAAAAATGAAATAAAAAAAACAAGAAGGAAAGGAAAGAAAAATATATAGTTAGGGGTTGTTGCGCGCGCTCTCTATATAGTCTTTGATAAGCGCTCCCTTACTGTGTAGCCCTATATATATCTGAGTGTGTGTGTGTATAGGAGCCTCTCCTGCACACACATCACGACTCGTGCGCTCTGCTGCTGCGTTGCTGGCGGCTTTTCGCCGAGTAGATAGAGAGAGACATGCCAGTTCTCTCCTGTGTGCTATATATATATACACGCCAGGCTTTTATATTGTATCCGCAAGCTCTCTGGCGCGCTCCATGAGGCAGCAGCGGCAGCGGTAACGGCGGCAGAGGCAGAGCGCAAGAGAGAGTCATGCGAGGCTCGCTGTACTGCTGCTGTATACTAGGCGGCTGGCTGGCGTCGCCGACTGCTGTACTACTGCGTGTGTCGCGCTTCGTACTTGGATGAGTGCGCGTCGTCGTGCCTCTTCTTCATCTTCTTCGTCTCTCTCTCTCTCTAGCTCTTTCGCTATATATATATACTACCCGTCTCTGTATATCTCTCCTCTCTTTTTTTTGCACTATTGTGTACACGTACGATAGATAGATATACGAAGAAAAACAAAAAGAGTGTATACACATCCGAGCTTCGTGAAAAAAAAAAAATTTCGCGCCAGTATGTGCCGCGTTGGTGAGCGTGTATAGGTACGCGTCGTCTCGCGTTTGTTTATTTTTTGTTTTATGAAAGTTGTTGTTGTTGCTGTTCATGATGATGATGATGATGATAATGTCACGCGAAATATTAAAAGTGTGTAAGTGAACGTGAGCTGTGTTCTGTGCATTCTATGCAGTGTATAACGCGCGAGAAGTGGATATAAAGAATATACGAAAAATTACCAAGTGAGCGTTTCGTTTTTGTTTTTGAGCAAAAAAAAAAAAAAATTGAAGGTGCCTCGAGGGAGGCCGACTAAGAGAAGAGTTTGGTGTTTCTCGTTTATTTGTTTACGTTCGTTTTTTTCTCTCAAAAAATAATGATAATGTGACTCGTGAACGTGCAACGTAAAATTAAAAAAAAAGAAAAAAATGCTCGCGAGTGTTCGCGTGTGCGTGGATCGTGTGCTATAGCTCTCTCGTGTGGTCAGTTAATGATAAACACAGAAGAATAGAGATACTCGGCGAGGGAGGATCAACGCATCCCGCGTCCCGAGGACGTATTCACGGAACGTAAGGGGCTGAAAAAAAGAAGAAGAGGAAGAAGCTAGCCATGATAACCGCCAAGAGAATCGATATTTTTTAGGTACGTTGATACAAAGCTCTCCGAGGAAAAAAAAAAGAAAGAAAAGAACTCGAACGCGTATACGCGCCGCGCCGCGCACACCCGCTTTATCTTATCTCTTCTCTTTTCTATGCAGTTTATTTTGGTTAAATTAAAAACCGGCGATACCTCTCGCGCGGAACAAAAACAAATGCGAGACGCGCACACGGGGTATCTCCTATAGCACGAGAAAAAAACTTGGCACGAGCGCGAGATAAATAATCAAAAAGCGAATTCGAACGCGCCGCATCTCTCTCGCTCTCTCTCTCTTTCTCTCTTTATTCCCGGTGCATCAGCGCGACATTTTTTTTGCAAAAAAAAAAAAAAAAAGAAGAAAAAGGAAAGGAACGAGCGTATGTCGTGTGTGTACGTCTTATACCGTACACATAACACGTTCAGTTCCGCGCCGCCACCACGCACACATACACCCTCGGCTCGTTTTTTTCGCGTGTATACATATGCACGAGAGATACGGCACACGCATATATA